GGGGGGGGGGGGGGGAGGGGAGGACGGGAATGACCGCCTGGGGGAGGAGGATATTGACATGTAGATTGTTGGAGGAGCCGGTTATCATGCGAATTTTGGTGTTCGTTCCAAGTGCTTGTAAATTGCTTGTTAGCGTCTGTCTGTGCGCTGCCATTCTCATTTTGTGGATGTGGCTGATGCTTGGCTTCTGTAGCGTGGGATAATTGCAGTGTTGTATTGCCATCTGCCGTTGGCGTTTCGTTTCTTTCTTTTCTTCTGCTTCGTCACGTCTTTGATGGCCTGCTGCATGGCATCACGCGAAAACGAAGGAAAGCAGTCCGGTCTCCGACTAGTGACTTGGAGATTGCTTTTTTGCATCCTTCACCGCAACGGCAACCACGGCACTTGTCTTCGAGAAACACGTTTCCTCGGTTAGCCATTCCGAGTCTTTGCCTTTTCTGCCTGGGAAATGGTCAGCATACCTAGGGGTATGCCCACGTGCAGCCGATGATACATACCTCTCCTATCCAAACTCCCACGCTAACATGTTCTCCTGTATAGCTTTGCCCATCTCCCTGATTCGACCGAGTGTCCGAGACACTCATGCTTCAGAAGTTCCCTGAATATACCACACTTTTCATTCCCTTTCTCAACCCATCACGTTCATCTCACTAACACCTCTCTCCTGCCTCCCATAAGTCCCACTCGTCAACACAGGCAAATTCGACACGATCGACCATGGCCTCAATACATTCGCATTCGCTGACAACATCTCCCTCGTAAGTCTTTGAAGTGGCCAGAAAACTCTCATCTTTCCAATCGTTGAAACCGGGACATATTTCGTCCTCGCTCTGAGGCACCCAAAGAACATTGTCATCATCGTGCCTAGTGGGCGTGACGTTGACCTCGCAGATAAGTTCTCCGCGCTGGCCCTGCCTGTCCTTCGTTTTGTTGACTTTTCCAGAAAGTCGACACACCCAACCAGGCCTCCCAAGTCTGATGTCAGGAAGTCTGGTGTTGCGAGGTCTGGTGTTGCGAAGTCTGATGTTGCATTCGGAGCAGTGGCCGTCGATGATGTATCGCTTGACGCACCTTGCGTTAGGACATTCCGAAGGAATGAGGTTGCCCCGGTCGGCATGGCGGGACTTTTCGCATACCGTTTCGATCTGGTTCCCAGCCGCTGTTCTCTGAAAAGTTGGCCTTTGAAGGCTGAAACGACATTTCCATACCCATAATGTGTATTCACACATGTTAACAGCGCCACTGGGAATGGCCGTGCTGCTTTCCAGGAAATGAAATCCCGTAGTTCGGTAATTCTGGATTCTGACGATCCTGGGTTGGGAAGATCTCGTGTGGCAAACCAAAATTAAGAGACCTCTGGCTAGCTCAATACGAGCAGGGTGAGCTGTTGAGTGATCGTAGTCTCTGAAGCAAGCAGGTCAACCTATACATATTCTCTCGGCGTTTGACTCAAATAAGCATTCCAGCAACAGCATTCGTCAAGGCGGCTCAGAATAGTGTTGGGTGTGGATTGTTGGTTCGTTGGTTGACGATGTTGGATGATCCAACAACCCCTGTTCGTTTTCATTTTCAACTTCTGCTTGAAAACTTCGGAAACATTAACACCAATGAAAACCTTATAATTGGACATTGCAAGATACATGAACCGCATCCGGTCATGATTTATACAAAAGCTCACATCGTTTTATCCCTAGAACCGTTGCGGCGTCGGCAACCTGGCATCCCAATCAACAGCAGCCACCAACATCCCGCTTTCCGTCGCCAACAAACAATCACCAAACACCCGTTACGTGCCGACGGGTGACGGAGGAGATCTCCTAAGAACTACCAAACCCCGAGTAACTACGGGTTTGGAAAGTTGTGAGCTAAAGGCCTTGACTTTCGTCAAGTTTATCCCGGCTTCAAGTTTCCTTCAACACCGACCGGAGAAAAAGAAAAGGAAAGAAAGAAAAAAGGGAAGAAAAAGGAGAGAGAAGAAGAAAAGAAGCAACAGTTTTGACAAACCCTTTCCTCCTTCCCAGTTTGAGGTCCATCACCTAGACACATACCGCCACGAGGCCAGCCTATACAGTTGTCCTATCTAGCTACTTGTCTGGCAGAACTAAGAAATGTTAAAGAACAGACCCTCTACTCCTCATCCAAACGTAGCTCAGTGTATTCCCATTACGAATCCCCTCGCTCTTTCATGGCTGCTTTTGTTGGGTTTGTTTACAACCCCTGAAAAGGCCAGTCCCATGGAAACACTCTGTTTTAGACACAGGGTGCCTATTCTAGAGACATGAGGTAACAAAAGAAGAGCCTACGGCGTTTCATCGTGCCACTGTTGGTCAATCATTACTGGGACCTGGTAGGCTGCTGACCTGCCACAGAGATGTTGAATTCGTGACTATCGCGAAGTTTTGCAATGAAAAATAAGCAAAGAATGTCGAAAAGAAAGGATGTAAAAGGATCGTAAGAAGGAATCTACCAAAAATCACCAAGACATCCAGTACATGTACCAGGATATCCCTCCAACTATCACCGTCTTTCCAACTCGTGTTTGAACCCATAATGGACCGCCATATCTCCCCTGGGGTCCAGTCTCTCACATCAATCTAACCTCCATTGAACGGGTTATTGAACCCAAACTTGGGGTCTGGACTCTTGGCGCACTCAGCAGATTGAGGCGGTATTTCTGGCGTAACCGTAACGCTGGTCACGATATTAGCTACGGTAATTCTGATATGAAGGAGTGTACAGCATTCCAAGTACCTTGTTCCATGCCGGAATCTGGAGAAATGCTGCGTAGTAGACATAGACGTCAGCCCGAGCTCCAACTACCCGTTGCCCAGGTGAGATTTGAAGGTACAGAACCATCATAAACGACTTACCGGTTTCCATAAAGCCGTTGGAGCTAAGTCCAGGACAGGTGTTGCGCATCCAGTCGATGGCGGCGGCCCATTCGGCAGGGCGGCAAATGTTTGGAGTCCAAGCGCACATGTAGGCCTTGGAGGTACCGTAACTGCTGAACAAAGCACCGGTATAATATCTCAAATTCACCTCCGAATCATAGCACTCGTTAAAGAACATGTTCCAGGCGTGGTCGAAGAAGTCGCTAAACTTGAGCCCGTCGCCGCCGGGGCACGCCGTATAGGTCCCGGCAGGCCAGTTGTAGGCGCGCTTTGCGAGGTTGTTAATGCGCTAGTGCATGAGGCCGGATACCTCACGCTCGGTAGCAGTGTCGGTATTGGTGGCGTTGAGTAGGGTCGTAATCTGATTGCCGTCAGCGTCCAAGGTGAAGAGGTAGGTACCGTCCGGGAGATCCTCTGGAATGGTGTAAGTCCCGGCCAACACGGAGCTGGCCGCAGCGAAGAGGGAGATCAGAGCAGTGAGCTTCATTGTGCAGGAGTATTGGTCGGTGGTTTTCTGCCCAAAGCTCCAGTTGTGATTATTGCTGGGGATTGTTGAGCGTCAACATCATGCAGAGGCGGACATGTTGAGAATATATATACCCACGAGCTAACAAGCCTACTTGACGCACGTCCCACTAGGATATCAAGAAGCCCACTCAAATATTTCGCGATGTCCTCACCAAGACGAAACGTGAAGGCATCATGGCTGCACCCTGCCATGGGCGCCGACAAAGACCACTGGCGGTGACCTCGTGCAGCTGACTCGGGTAATACCCTACTGTTAGTAAGAGATACAGGCATTGCGACGCAAGATACATACCTATATCTATGCCGGAGCTGACAATGTAAATATGGTTGCGAGCTGACTCCTGAGTAAGTCCTGTGCATACCTGACCGAAGCTGTACGGAGGGGACGGTCGTAGTCAACAGTGACAAGACTTTATCTATATTTGTCAGTGTTAGGTAACAAGCGTTGCTGCACTTACAAACCATCTTGGCGTAAGAGAGATAGGGGGTTGGTCGCGTTTGGCTCATAGGTAGGTAGCAACAGGCCATGGGTGCTGTACGTAAGCTAAGTTCACTCAAGGCTCACCTAGGTAGTGTTGGCTTGTGTAAACCTTCACGGGCCTAATGTCGAGTTGGCTCAGAATTAGGTACGACTCAGCTTGCGCACGATACCGCTAAACGAGAACATAGGAACGACGTGCAATTTCCAGGATACTGTAAAGAGCTTTGAGGTCGATTTGAGGACTGATGGGATCGTAGGCAACAGCCTCTTTGGATGGGACGTTTCCGGCTCGATGAAGTGGGTAGGTAAAGATATCCGGGAGCCCAAGGGGAGGGGCAGATGGTACATGGAATATGAATGAAAGCAACCCCAGGTGCTCAAATATAAGGAGATGCGGTCCTCAGATAGTTCCTGTACCTCGAATCAATACACTCACGTGTGTCTAAGAGACGATTGCGATGATGGATAGAAAATCCGAACCTACGCAGTCCAAAATCTAATTATCAACGTCACCATGGATTCCTCTTGTCATGCAGGCCAGCAGTAGTAACTGGCACATGCATGGGGAAGTAAGGAAGGACCGTCCATGTTGACTTGTAAGCCATGGGATGTTATGAAAAACGAGAACTGATGATGGGCGTTACTTTCTCAACAAAAAAGAACAAATGTGCACACCCATGCTCCCCCTTTGAGCAATTCCACAGCTCCTTCCATTCAATCCCCATACCCAAACTTGGCACATTAACAGGGTTCCGCAGAAGCACAACATCCATTATCTCCTTGAAATTTGCACTTGCTTTCTTACTTTCATTACTGTTGACAGCGGTTGGGACGGTCCTTCATTTCAACATCCTGTCATTTTGCCGTTCAACGGAAGCACGACCCGCACTCTCCCAAATCTCTGCGTGCCTTCCTTGTTCCATGACACAGGAAGACACTGCCGGATATTCGTTTCACCACCGTCCACAAACCTCCTCAACTTCCATCACACGAACGATCTGTCGTTCATTTCTCAATATGTCTAAAATTATGGCACCGTCGCTGGCAAAACCGCTCGTTATTTGGTATCTACCTTCTATACGCCTGTATTTGGCGGTTTATGATGCACAGGAGAAATGCTTCTCGAACATAAAATGCTCCTTGTTGGATCCAGGAATGGAGTGAAACATTGACAGACCGAGTCATTAGTATTTGAATATTTTCCCCTGGCTTCAAGGTTTTTTGGTCGTTCTCACGGAATTCGATACTGACTGAACCTAATAAGTAAAGGATGGTGGGCATTCGAATATCTGCAACTACAGTCATCTATCTACGCCTTTCCTCTCTGGGAATGTTTTATCTTCAGCGACTTACTCTTAAGGGGAAGAATGATACCAGCACCGAAAAACAACAAAGGGAAAAACAAAAAAAAATGACAACACAAACGACACGATCCGTGAAAAAACCACCAGCAACCAACAACACCTATCCTAGTAACAATACCCACGGTCCCTTCTCCCTGCTCGTAGTTCTTTCAAGAAGCCGCAGACCCCTGCGAGCGACATAATAACCCTTGCTGCCTAGAGAACAACACTCAACCTCTATATCTCTAGCAAGTAGAACTAGTGACCAATGGAGCAGACGACATCCTTGTCCTAGGTCCAGGTTTCCCTGATAGCCGCACGGCTGCATAATTTTCCTACCTAGATAGTCTTCTGGTACTGCGTTCAAGATCCACTGCGTTTCGTTACGTATGAAACCACACCTTCGGTCCACTGGCCCAGACTCGCCGTCATCAGTGACATAAAGTCCTGCACAAAGAGGTTCTCCACGGCTGTTTCGAAAGCCGCACCTCTTGCATACCCAAGTTGAACGTGAGGCCCCCAGCTGGCAACGGTAGCAGTGGATGGCGACAGTGAGCTTGGTGGTTTTCCTGTCAGAACAATTCAGGGATTTGTCGTCGTAGGTTTGAAGCGAAAGCGGGCACGCCTGCGAGTGCAAATTTCCCCAGTCATCGTCGGGGTACATGTCAACGACGAGTCGACATGACCAATACATCCGGTTAAACTTGCACATGGGGAGTTTCGGAGCAGTTTTTGAGCTGATCTTTGGCAGATGAAGCCGGTGGTGGTTGGATAACTGGCTTGGTGCCGGAGTGTCCGGGTGACGATATCGAATATGCAACGAGTGGTAGAATTCAGAAGGATGTTGTGCTCATATATGGCCGCCCATCTGCCAGACCAGAGAAGGTTTACTTTATATTCGCCATCCCGTTGGCCCTCGCTTCCTTCAAAGAGTTCCAATCACAGTCCTTCGCCTCCGGTGATGTGAGCCAGCTCTCAGATATTCCAACATCGTCTCCGAAAGCAGCAAGTGTAAAAAAACATCACCAACCTGCCGGCTCATGAATGTCGTTAAGTCCTTTGATTCAGGGCATGAACACAGCTGGTTGTTTCCCTATGTTATCTTGACCACAGTGTATTCAATAGTTCAACTCCTTTCTTTCATCAAGTCGAAAGTTGGTGCGTTGCATGTGCAATTGAGGTGACAGTCCAGGAGTGTCTTTCCATCTCATACCCGGATTCGGCCATCACTGGCTGGAATCAAGCCGTGTGTGGTCTGTGTCGTGTCCACCGATCCGTCAGTCTCCGGGACCGCGGGAAATCCATAGTCCAACAAGCCGTCCACCGAACGGCACCGCAATCATCACCAACGTGCCGCTAGCAAATTCTCGTCTAACATGGGGGACAACTAACCCAGCCCGCGTTTTTGTGGGAGTCCAAATGCCAACACTCTTTTTCGACTTTGTCTCTTGCCATCTTATTGCCGGCAGTAACATGAGATCTGAATACGTCAATTGAAATTGTTCAGCAACGAGCATCTCAGCCTTCTCGACGCTCTCACTGCACGATTTCTTTTTTTTCTCTACCATCATGCGCTCAAGTCCACCATGATGGTAACAACACGGGTGACACTCGTCAGCCTGATTTATCCCATACTGGACTTTGTCAGACGTTTCGCAGAACCATAGCAGTTGCATCATCATGACCACCACTGCCACCACCACAGCCATCATCATTATAGGACTTTTGATGCCTCTGACCACCGACTTGACACTGCGTGATTCTGATTTTGACCCAAAACCGTACTATTGACTAGAGATATAACGATGCCAACGTTACAGGCTCATAGCCCTGAAGCCCACAAGCCATTGCGCGTGAAGGTTCATGGCAACGCCCAATCAGACTCAATCTCCTTTCATACCGTTTGCACCACTGCACTTGCAGCCCGAAAGCGATAGTCGCGTCAGAGCGTCCAGGTCTACTAACGGTGCAAGGTCCAGCATAAGAACACCCAAGTTCCAGCTGCTAGTGAGCCAACCTAATGTTGTGATCGAGGTAAAGCCCACCTCAGTCTCAACCAAACATCTACGTCATCGCACCCTCCTCAACCAGTCCAAATACCAAAAATGTGCACCTACACCAAATCCCTCTTCTCCTGCTCGCACTCACACCTCAACCTCCTCCACCGATGTTTCCTCTCCCGTCTCATCGGCTTGCCCTGTCCCTCCACCGCCCGCAGCCTCCGAGAAGTTCACACCTATCCCCGCGCTTGCCGTGCTTGTCTCGGAACAGCGCGGGATTCGTATCGGCACCTGCGGAACCACTGGGGTCTGCCCGGACGATCTGAGGAGGTGGAAATGCTGTTACTGCAAGACCGAGTGGGAAGGAGGAGGAGGAGGAGGAGGAGGAGACTGGTGTAATGCGTTGATTACGTGGATTGAGGAAGACGAAAGGGAAAAACTGGTGAGGCAGAGGAGGTGTGGGCATGGTAGGTGTATTAGCTGTGATAGTCGAGGGAGAGTTCTGGGAGGCCCGGGCGGGGAGTGACGGGGGTGAAGGGATGGGTGATTAGAAATAGGATTCGGAAGCTTGGGAAAAGAAGGGTAGGAAATATACGTAATGTCGATCATGAGATTTTGAAACACTGAATGACTGACCAGTCGGGAGGAAAGGGAAGAAATTTGTAATGCGTGGGTACGGGGAGAGACGGGCGAGTGGAAGTTTCTTCCTGATTATGGAGCGACAGGGGTTCAATCGGGGATTCGGGGGACTGGAGAGTTTCCGCGGACAGGGGAATCATGATGAAAAGACCGTTGGACACTCGTCGACCCGGCAGCAAAACTGAAACCCAAACTGTTCCTGAGGATGCGCCAAGCATTTTGCTGAAATGCAGGGATTGGAGGATGCCAAGTGGAAAGATTTGGGAAAAGTGGTTGATTCCGGGAAAGATTCCTGCGAAAGGGCGACCCAGTTGGCGAACCGCGGAGGGCGGGCAGGTACATGAAAGTGGCCGCGTACCCTTCGGTCCTAACAAATGCCAGAATTCTATCTGCAGGTCCCGTCTGTCGGGTGGTGTAATGGCGGGTGTTACCTTGCGTACCTGCAGGTGAAACAGATTGACGACATGGGATGAGATGAGGCTGACAGCCGCTTCCCGCATAGGAAGGGACCACAAACAAACAAAGGTCACAATCACATGCCAATTCGTTGGAAAGAGAAGAATGTAGACCAAAAACCGAAAATGCTATGCTTTTCCTTACACATGCCCCTGGGTATAAACTAGAACGAAAATGAAACCTAAATCTAGAGCTTCTGAGCAACAGGAGTGTAGTCCTCGTTCTTGAGGACGTAACGGTACCTGGGCTTGCCAGCCTCGAAATCGAGGATAGCCTGGTTGGCATCCTTCATGGAGATCTCCTTGACCCAGGGCTCGACCTTCTTCTCGACCGCGAGCTGGAACATCTCGCGGATGTCCTCGGGGGAGCCGATGAGGGAACCGGTGAGCTTGATGCGGTTGAAAATGAGGGCGAACTGCTGGATCTGGGGGAGACCGTCGTCGGGAGCGCCGACCTGGATGAAGGTGCCGTCGAGGTCGAGGAGAGAGAGGTACTCGTTGAAGGGCATGTCGGCGCTGGAGGCGGTGCAGAGAATGACATCCAAAGAGGACCTGTTCTTGGCGAGCCACTCGGGGTCCTCAGCGGTGGCGATGAAGCCGGTAGCGCCCATGGCGACGGCATCCGCCTTCTTGCTGGAGCTGCGGGAGATGCAGACGACCTGGTCGGCACCGAGGGCCTTGGCCCACATGACACCGAAATGGCCAAGACCACCGAGGCCGATGATACCAACGCGCTTGCCAGGGCCGACACCGTGGAACTTGAGAGGAGCGTAGGTGGTGACGCCAGCACAGAGCATGGGGGCGGCGAGAGAAGAGGGGATCTGCTCGGGGATCTTGACGGCGAAGAAGGAGGGGACACGCTGGTAGGTAGCGTAACCGCCATAAGACTTGCCGCCGTTGAGGTAGACACCGTTGTAGGTGCCAACGTGACGGATGCGGCAGTAGTTGTACTTGCCCTCAGCGCAGATCTTGCACTGCTTGTCGGTACGGTTGCGGCAGGAGTCACTCTGAGCACCGACACCAACACGGTCGCCGACCTTGACGCCACCCTCGACCTGAGAGCCAGCACGGACGACGGTACCGACAACCTCGTGACCGACGCAGCAGGGGTACTTGGTAGGGCCCTATATGCATTGTTAGTATAAGAACTTGAGAGCAGTTACCATATTAGGGGGAAAACATACCCAACCGCTGCGGAGGGTGTGAATGTCAGAACCGCAGATGCCGCAGCACTCGATCTTGATATCAATATCGGTCTCCTCCCAGGTCTTGGGCTCGAACTCGCCCCAGACCATGTTGCCGTTGGCAGACTCCTTGTCAAGGCCGAGCCAGCCTTCGAACTTATAATCGGTGCCCGACATTGTATCTGGTGTTGCTGTATCTGTGGTTGTGGGAGAGGTTGTGATAGGAATGTAGAAGCAGTCTCAAAAAATGACCCAGAGTCCTCGGGGTCTTTCACATCTTTATATAACCTGCATCTTGGAACATGTTTTCGATCCACCTCGGGACCGGCATGGATACATCATCACTCAATATCCATGATTTTGCCTCATGGAAGTTTCGCCGTTGGTTTTTATCGGGCCCACAACTGCGGGAAGCGTTCGGAGACCAGGGAATCCACGTATCCACCCCGTGAAGCGTCGGTGGTTCGCTGTGCTTGATAAGCAACAGAATGCTAGAGTGCTGGCAGAGGCAAACAGCGGTAAAAATTGTTGTGTTGACGAGTTGAAACCTCGGAATGCCATAGGTTGTTTCAGTCTTCTTGATAGAAGATTCCGGTCCGTGTCTTTTTTTTTTCGAGAGGCGGCTCTGACTGAAACCCGAAACTCCGGTTCAGGCACAACTTTCGTCCTAACCTGTGTCTAACCCTTCGTATCATAGCGGCCATTGGCCAATGGCGCTGCGGGATAACGCCTTTGTGGGGACGATTGACGCTGAGTGCTGTCTCCGGAAACTCGGATCTCTGAATCGCAAAATCTGCCCCTTTTATCACCGGACAACGCGGATGGTAACGTATCCAATGTTCGAGTCAGATATCTGGTGAATGGGCTGTTTTGGATGCAACCTGAATATCACAGCACGTGGCAGTGAGAGCCACAAAACATTGTTGTTCTTCGTGTCGTTGGTACTCGGACTGCTTGCCAGATTTGGAGTGACGTGACGTCGTCGAAGAGTGCAAGGATGGGGGCGGCACTTGTCTGAACTGCCGAGACATTGACAGCCACGCGGGGCATGGATGAGCCTGCGATACAGCGGGTCTGTCCTTCTAGGGTTTGCTAGAACAGCTGCTGCAACAAAGTGTATTATTAATAAAAAAGCTGTTGAAGAGTATTTTCCTTTAGCAACTTGTGAGATACGCAAAGACCTCTCGATCATCGTACGTACCCTAACAAGCCTTGGATCGCAAAGCCACGATTACGTTCAAGCAAGATCTTTGTCGTGGGTACGGGACTATGTCCCATCCTATCGGAGAGTATAACGTCAAATCACAACGTCTTTGATTCAGAAAATCATTGATATCCGGACAGGTGCACCAGGCGTTTGGGACACGGCAGTCGATGGCGGCGATTCTAGTCTTTGACGCTCAAGCAGGCGAAGTTCTCGTTCGTGCTGATCCGCAGGCACATACACCCACTTCTGCTCGTCCTTGATCCAACTTCGCGATGGCATGAATGCCTCGAGCATGTCATAGTTGTCGCGGTTGTAGGGGAAGTCGACTGTGGGAGGGCCACTTCGGTCGAGAAATGTATCGGTACCGCTGGCGGCATCGGAGGGCGTCATGCGGAAACGGGATCGTCTGTTGCCTTGATTGGCAGTGTTTCGGCGAATGGACCGGGTGATGGACGCCAAATGCGCTTGCAGTAACCTCACATACCACAGCTGGCTGTGAAGGGCCTTAACAACCACTTGGGCGTGCTCCGCGACGAGTTTCTTGTTCCAATCTGGGTCGGCACCACGGGGGATGGTGGGAATTTGCACGCCGCTGTCCAAGTGATCCTGCCAGTGGGCGAAATCGACAATGATACAGAGGAAGATCCATCGAAGACGACAGGTATAGCAGAAGCAAACAAGGCTAGGGTCAGGGGATTGGACGTGTTTATAGTTTGCATTGACTCTTCTAGGGCTGAGGGCATCGCCATAGGCTTCGTTGAGTGCACGGTGGGCGTTTTCGTCGAGATCCTGGGCCAGGACAGGAAGGCGGAAGCACTTGGCGAGAGAGGAATAGCGCCAAGCTATGATATCGCGAGTGATGAGGTGTTCTTGGGACAGGATGAAGTCTCGAAGTGACTTGTTGACACGGCAGAGGATAAACAGCTCTCTGGGTTCGAGGAGGGTGATGATCGAATATAGGAGCTCGTAGGGGAGGTCGAGCATGCCTCTGGGCGGCACCGTAGAGGCCCGTTTCGCCTTTTCCTTCTCGCGTCTCTTTTGCCTTCGGTCGGTCTTTTTCGAGTGTAACGGTATGGCTTGGGTAAGGTCGACAAGTGGCTCGAGATGGTCGGCATCGGCGTCGGCGTCGGCGTCTTCGTATAAAACGGTGGCCTTTACTTTTGTTTTGGCGTTGGCATTGACGGCGGTGTTGGTGTTGGCGATATCTGGTGGCCCCGCAACATTTACAGCGCTCACATCGCTAAAGGTTGAACTCCGCGAGTGGCGGCTCGATCGCGAAGTTGATGTTGTGGTGGGCATTTTGCAAGAAAAGAAAAGAAAAGAAGACAAAAAGAAAAAGACAAAGGCGGCCTCGCTGGACGGAGCCAGAAGGGCTACGATTTCATGGAAATGAAGAGACGATTGCATGAAGTTGGGGAAGGTGTTAACGCGGGGAGAAATGACGCTGGACACCTCAGCTTTCCAGTGATGCCGGGCGCCGAGGAAGGAACAGGTCCGGGGCAGCTACAGCTCCCGCTGGATGCTACCGAGCCTTATCGAATTGCTGATAAGAGAGCTGACGGGCCGGCAAAGGTGGACTTGCAGCCACAATACAGTTGGCACAGCACTCTGCCGGCCCGGTTGCTCATTCGTACTTTCCGTTGCATCAAGCTTCGAGCTTGGAGCTTCTTACTCGGATCGCCAAATCGGCAGTCAACCCCCACATCGTGACTTCCACTGGGCTTCTTGTCTCCTTCTGCCTGGCCAGATTTCTTCTGCAAAACTGACGGTGAAAATTTCCTCCTCGGTTCTCAAACAATGGCCGAAGCCAGTCAACAGTCAGTCCTCCATGTCCAATATGGAATCACCATGGCAGAATCCAAGGCTCACATTAGCCTGTATCGTCAACTACACCCTCACCGGCTCATACCTCTACCAACAACAACAACAACAACGACAACAACAACAACAACAACAACAACAAGCCATGTCCCTTTTACACATATAAGAGGATGAAGCGAAGCAAGTGCTTCCCCATTCAAATACGATGACTCCTCTTTCATCTTTGCGAAAACTGCTGCGATGACCTCCCTCGGCTTGCTTCTCCTTGGCCTCAGTGCCTTCCTTTCAACGGCATGGTCTTCATCCATCATCGACAACCGCCAGTACTACCCTGGTGATCCCTCGGAAGGTGGACCAGTCACTCCTCAAAGCTGCACAGAGACATCCTTCACCAGTCCACGCTGGGGCATCTACAGCCCAACATTGGTTACGGTGAACGGGTCCAGTGGTGGCTCACAAGGCGATATCCGTTTCTTGACCGTCAACATTGCAACCAATGTCTCCGCAGCCTGCATTGCAAGGAACATCAACCTTGATCCAAAGGGACCAGACGCCCTCAACATATGGCATGACTGCGATATCCCCAACCTCAAGTTCCAGTTCAATCTCACCAGCTTTGATATGCGGTTGCGGGGGACCTGGCTTTGTGAGAACACAACTGGCTTCACCTTCACTGCACAAGGTGTCTGGGAGCAGCCACTGATCCAAGGCTGTCTGGATGACTGGCAAGCCCCACGAGGACAGGAGACCCTGTGTATCATGGGCAACTCGCAAGTCTGGGGATCTCTGACCACACCCGTCCAGATCCAACCTCAACTTCCCATACGCCCATACACTCCATCTGAGCTGCCTGAACGCTGTGTGGACAGATCTTGGGACCCCCAGTGGCTCGTGGAGAGTCTCGTTTATCGGAACTATTCATCCATCTCCGGCGGGAACAGTACAAAGGAGACCCAGGAACTAACATTTGAACTGACCAACATCTCGAATGAGAAAAAGTCCCATTGTCTCGTCACCAGTCTTGGGAACTTCACCAGCGCAGATGGTTCTACACCATGGGTTCCTTGTCAAACAAGCGGCCCTGATGAAAAGCTCAGTGTGATGCTTGCCGTACAAAGCGGCATCTTGGGGGTTAGACAGGATTGGAACTGTTTAGACGGCATCGAAGGCATTGAGCCGTACGTGTGAGGTCTCTAGGTCATCCACCATGCCACTGCTGACAAACCCGTTCTCTAGAAACCACTACAGTGGAACTGGCTTCATGCCTCTGAGCTTCACCTGCGGACCTCCCACGAACCAAACGATCCGATCCCTCCGTGGCCGTGTCTCAAGATCGAAAACCCCCAACACCTTCCGGTGCACCACGCCCGCTACCAACTTCACAGGCTACGAGGCCAGCCAATTGCCCGTCATGCCTCATACACTTTACACAAGAAGCTGCACGGTCGGCTCCGTCACCAATACTTCGTCCCTAATTGTTCGTGGATATGAGATCAGGACCGAGACCATTCCAAGGCCCAGCAAGTCCAAGACGGTATCTGGAACTTTTGACCTGTACAACCCTGGGTCCGGTGACACCTACAGGCTGCATGGGCTTCAGATACAAGATGACGGCGCTTGGCATGAATGCAAACTGGCCCCCACAGAATCAGGAGAGCAACAGCCACTCCCTTGGCAGCTATACCATTGTGAGTACCGTTTCGGCCCTGGGCTGCGCGACATCGCCTTCAAGCTCAAGTGGGAGTGTGATGATCGTGATCCCTTGCATCCGGTAGGTGCTCTTATCTCCCAGCTTTCATCCTCAAAAACTTATTTTGACCCATCGTGCTGCCTAGGTGCTGTTTGCTGCAACGGCAAACTCGAAACTGCCTGCCCAAGACTGCTCTGAGTGGAGAACCCTACAAGGGTTTAGCAGCTCATGTCGCTTGCCGGAATTCTCAATACCTGTTGAGTCGCTGAGTTGGTCTTCACTCTCTTCTCCTATGGAGAGGGGTCCGACTTTACCTTGGGTTTAAAGGCCATTTTGTGCCTTCCGGTCACCACAGGTATTGGCCGAAGGATTAGTCCACTTATTCAAGGTGGACATCCCGACACGGCACGGGGAAGCGGTGGTCATCTCAGAAATCACCCGGCAGGCTCTGAGACTTATCCCACGACGCAACGCAGCGAGAGATAACCTGGGGTCGCCTGGAAGCACCATTGCCCAGAAAAGCCATAAGCGAACTTGGTCTTCTTTTCTCCCGGTGCCTGGATAATCTTTGGTCCCTCGTCCCAAGCCTTAACAGCCCACTTTGCCCCCGGCACTCCCTCTGGTAATTTGCGGTCAGCCTTTGTCCTTGTTTGCATTGCTTCTGGGTTTGCATATCTTCTATCTTGCCAGTGACCAACATTTCACCTTGTCCAGCTCTCCACGCTCGGTAGCTGGTCTCGAAGGCCTATGACACCTTCACCCGCTCATGGACTCCAATTCCATTGTGTGCTCGGCGATTGGCCACAGCCTTGCGATAGGAAGACAAGTCAACCGCCGGGTTGACTAGGATGAGCACATGGGTTGCAATCGAGCTGGCTAGATGTGGGGTTTCCAAAACGATGAATGAGCCTAGAGTGGTGAGGAAGGAACAAAAGGGAGGAACCAGCAGGTACTTATCTGACAGCCCATGTCGAGCAAAGAAGAGCAATGTCAATCTTCACTGCCTGTGAGACCTATCGCAATCACTTATGCAATCACGTATTTGCCCGAGCTCGGAGCTAGAGGATTGCAATACTGGAGCGCAGCCGTGTGAGAGCATGTGATCGCGGACTGCTGTGGGAATGGCAGTTTCAAGCTGGAACGTGGGAGCGAACATCACGTTATGACCGCCACATTGGACCAACGCGTGATAAGGGATTAGGCGATCGTCGTCTTATCTGATATCTTTCGGAGAGCGGGCATATTTCCGACCTTGCCACTCAGGCACACAACCGCCATCGCTGGCTGTTACCACAACACTGGAAAGACTTGTGTGTGATTAAACGATCGGTGCTTGAGAACCTCTATGGCTGATGGGCGTCTCCAAAGATTGACTATCACCGGGCACATCGTTATCGACTCTAGATAAGCCGCGGTGATGTGTCGGTGATATATCTCGGGTTTCTTGTTTTCTCGTGATAACTACTCCAGTGACTGAGAAAGGCATTACGCAGCCTGTCAAGCCTGTCACCCATCCGAAACCGGCTACTCGGCCACGAATAAGCAAAAGCCGGGGACGGAGGAAGGCTGAAAAGCTTAAAGGGTTAAAGCTTAAAAAGGCCAAGGCCGCCAGCCTCGCACCGTCGTCGCCTAAATAAGCGAGTCCCTTACTCTCCAGCACCTAAATGGAAACTTCCGTTCCCAATTTGAGAACCTTGGGGTCCTGAAACGTCATTCATTCATACTCATCTTCGTGGCGTGCTCATGACCATCACTTTTGCCATTTGGCACTCCCGGACTTCCAGCCGTCAACTCACAGTCCTCTGGATTTGGGGCTCCACATGCAGGAACGATTTGACGATCATCGGCCAAGCCGTCTTGCAGATCAACAGCTTTGACAGTTTTGACACCGTCCAACTACCGGCTGACAGGTGCAATTCTATGCACGAACCCGTCAATGATCGACAGGGATTTACCGCAGCCGCTACGATCAACTCAAATATCTCCTTTGAACATACACATATGCTCAAGATCTTCTTGGATCTTCTCATGATCAACTAAGGGGGATTGCTCTTTATATTTTAGGAACGGACAAAAATAACCCCTTTTCCTTCTCTGACTGGATGTTTGCTGGAAATGACCAACTCGTGCACAGAGCAGAATTGCGAGCTGATGGGTTGGAAAGCGATCAATACGGGGAAGAGTGCTTTGCCTCAAGTGGCTTTGTTCACGATAACTCCACAAACGCAAAACACTCAAAGCTCACATGAACCTTCTTCGGACTTCCTACGGTGATTGATGTCGGCTCTTATGGACCAACACTGCTGCCACCGCCGATTTCGGATGCGGCTGGGTACTCTGTCCTTCACCAGTAACACCAATCAACAAAGCTCGAAACGCACTAGCGAACATGATCAACAACACTAAGAGCGGTTTCCAGCCGATGGAGAACACCAAGACTTCGTCACCGTATCTATTCCGTCTTGATTCTCCTGAGGCTTTACCTTGATGGCCCGGGCCCGAGTCAATGATGGCAAACATGCGCAGATTTCCCACAAGCTGTAACTGGATACCCTTTGTAAACCCCAGCAACCGGGCAGAACGCCAGACCAAGACTCAAAGCCAAGATGGTGATGAGCGGTTCTTGGTTCCACTCTCCTTGGGCTCGTCAGCGGTCTTGGGGTGAAGACAAGCCTACTCGCCAAGATTAGACAATCTCCTTCAGCTCATGGAGTACGGTCACAGCTCACGGTGGAACATGGAGGAGAAGAAGGCGCGAGAGACAAAGTTCTCTCGCTTAAACTTGGGTATATCTACTCCATCATCGCTTCCTCGTTGGCAATGTCGGTCTCGATATCTCGTGTTCAGAGTCCAGATCACTCCACGACTGGTTAGAGTAGTCTAACGCTTCACTCCTTTCGCCAAACATTCTCTTTGATCACCTATCCACCTGGTGATATTCTCTTTCACCGCTGCTTTACAGTTGCTCGTCAGCAACTGACCGTGCATATCCTATCTCCGGTCGACGAGCCATCAGCAGCATCCGCAGGCCGGACGTGCTGCTCGACATCAGATCTTGTCAGACGAGATAACGACAACCAGGGTGCTTATCAGTCACCAGTCGTCACACATCATCATGGCATCTCCATACGACACGCTTGTCTCTTACGCACAAGCCACGAGTCAGCTTCGGTCGAAGACGGCATCCGGGCTTGACCCTTCCCAGCAACAACAAGTTCTTGACTCTTTCAAGGCTTCCTACATCAGCCTATCAGCCTTCATCCAGCCCACCTCCAAGCCAGCCCTCAGTACGCCGGACCTAAGCACAGTCCTCACTCATGGCTCCCTCCGGGACTTTGTCAACAATTTTTCTCTCCCTACCACGGCTCTTGACGTGCAACAAAGGGGCAGACTTACCAAACCCATTGTTTGTATCGCTCTCCCCAACGGCCCTGTTCTCGCTGCAGTCTGTCTGGCCGTAGCAAACACCTGCATTGCTTCGCCAGTCAACTGTGACAAAGCTGTTGGGCCGGAACAGTTCCGCGCTGATGTACGGCAGGCGGGTGCTTCGGTCATCTTGACCACCGTGAAGGATGCCGAGCGGTTGGGACTTACGGGTCCTTCATCATGGACTGTTCTTGAAGGGCTAACGGTGTTGCTGATTGAAAGTGACGACGCTGGACGTGGTCAGTCTACGCAGGTTTTCATCAGGGACTTGGCCGGACAGCTAGTCACACCCCAAGCAGCAGGCTGCTCCCAACCAGCGCCAAACGGTACGGATGATGTAGCCATCATCTTGTTCACTAGTGGTACTTCCGGTACCAAGAAGCTTGTACCCATTACGATTCAGAACATTGTTGCAGGTGTAGCCTTCGTTATCGACTCGTGGGGGTTGACACCGGATGATGTCTGTCTCAACATGATGCCCTTGTTCCACATTGGTGGCTTGGTGAGAAACATATTCTCGCCCATCTTCTCGGGTGGGTCTGTCATCTGCTGCTCAGCCTTTGATCCGACCCTATTTTGGGATGTCGTGCAGGACCACGGGGCAACGTGGTACTATGCTTCGCCCTCGATGCATCAGATGATTCTGGATCAAGCGGAGGACCGCCCGGAAGCGCTTGCTAAGAGTAGGGTCCGATTGGTGTGTAATGCCGCTGGTGGACTGCTTCCTGCATTGGCAGTCAAGCTGAAAGATACCTTCAATGGCGTGATTGTGCTTCCAAGTTATGGAATGACTGAGTAAGTGCCTCGTTTGTTATCGTCCTTTGAACTTTCACTGACCCAACCCAGATGCATGCCCATCTCAACCCCGCCAACAGACTACAAACTTGACAAGCCCGGCACTTCGGGTATTGCCGTCGGTCCCGAACTTGCTATCCTCGACTGGAACAACATTCCTCAACCCTCCGAGACTGTTGGTCGCATCTGTGTCCGCGGCGAGCCCGTCTTCCCCGGATATCTCACTGCCGAGGGTCAGTTTGACAACAGCACCTTCACCCCAGATGGATGGTTCGACACCGGTGATCTTGGTCGTCTCTCACCAGACGGCTACCTCTTCATCACCGGTCGTAGCAAAGAGGTTATCAACCGCGGTGGTGAGATCATCTCACCCTTCGAAGTCGAGAACGCCATCATTGCTGCCGCGCAAGACCCTGAGTCACCCATCTTCAACCGGGTCTCTCAAGCCCTCTCTTTTTCCGTCCGCCATGATGTCCTCCAAGAGGTTGTCGGTGCTGTGCTCGTCACGCCTCCTGGTGCTCAGCGTGTTGATACCAGGCAATTGCATCAGGCACTGAAGAAGTCCTTGCAACAGGCAAAGTGGCCTAGCGTGATTGTCTACATGGATGATGTGCCCAAGAGCAACAACAAGGTGCTTCGTATCAAGCTGGCCGACCGCTTGGACATTTCCGAGGTGACGGACAGTTCTCGCTACTGCGATGTTCACTACGAAGCTACCTGCCCGCCCCTCAATACTCCTCTGTCGGTTAGCATTTCATCGGCCCCTTGCACCATTGATGAAACCACGATCTATCGCAGCATAGCCGCTCTTTTGCCGCTGGGCATCGTCCATCGCGTTCACCAGAACCCTCAGTCTGGCGGCTTTGAGGTCTACCTCGCACCAAAAGAAGATAGCCCCGACGTAAGCGAGTTCAACAAGGTCATTGACTCGCTCAAGTCCAAGCTGCCCTCTCTAGTACCCGGGTACCTTGTCCCACATCGTTTCCACATCCTACATACTCCTCTACCGGCAGAACTTGGCATCATGCCCACCCGTGAAGCTCTCGAAACCCTTCTCCACGAGCAAAACAACCGCCCGGGGACTAATGACTCGTCAGCCACGAG